TTTTTCCATCTTTAGAGAATTTCGTATCACATGTTAAAATTAAATTAGAGTAATTACCAACGATGATGATGATATTATAGTTCTCTTTCTATTTAATTCCACGAGTTGATGGAAATATTTGGTAAGTTTTTATCTAATAGATTCATTATTACTTTATAGTTCGTCTACGATTTTCACTTGAAAGTTATTTTTGTTGTTGCAATGATAATAGTGTGTTACAAGCATTTTTCTATTCTCTGTTACTTTTCTATAGAGTAGAAAATGTGGTCAAGAAGTTCTTAATTATGTTAACATTTATGCATATCATTTACATATATTATACAATACTTTATAAAACCAAAGTGGCAAAGTGTTAAATCACTTCCATCATTTTATCAATTCTTCTTTTCTCTGTCAATTCTCAACGACAACTACAACGCTCAGGTTATTTTTTCCCATATTTTCTGCTAATTCCCTACCATTTTGAAACTTATACTTGTGAGATTACGAATAATGTAATGGTTAATTACTTTTTTCCTTAATAGTAGATTGCTTTACTACTCTAATATAGATATACACACATATAATAAAGTAGTTTGCAATGTGGTCAAGTCAAGTGGCAAGCTATTGAAAAGCCACTTGACAGTTTTAAGATAAAGCTAATATATAATGTTAGCGAAAAATATGTGTGTGGGAAAAATATTTTGAACTACTTTTGAAAATATAATAAATTAGTTAGATAATATACATATTATTATCCATAAATATTGAATTAAAGGAATGTGAACAATAAAATTTTAAACTCACAAGTAAAAAAATAAACAAATTTGTTTAATATCTACAAGAAGAGCGTTTGATAATTATATTAAGTCAAATGATAAGTTAATAAAAATCAATACTAATACTGATAATTTTAAACAACAAATAATCTAATAAAGAGAAATATATATGAAGCATTAAAATTATTTGATATTCATATGATATTTATTATCTATGTTCATATAGAATTAATTATGGGGATGGAGAAAGGGAAGGGGAAGCGGGGTAAGGAGAGGGGGGGGGGGGGGTGGAGTAGATTTAATTAAGGAACAATACACTAATTGGACTTTTAAAATGTAACATGTTTAATATGGTCAGATAAAATATTACAATCTAAAATGATTCAAATTAATATTTTAATATTATCTGTGCATCGTGGTACATATACTAATTTTAATTTAACAACTCTTAGTCTAATTTATTAAATATTAAATAGTAAAATTTCTATTATTTTTTGTTTGAAAAAGTAAAAACATCTCAATTGAATCTTTTCTACCACTACTAACATCTTATAATAGAGAGAGATTTTTTACTGCTCCTAACAACTTATTATAAATAAGTCTTTTTTACTATTTCATTCGGTGAAAATGTTCACAACTTTTTGAGTCTTCTTCTCCACCATCTTCCGTTTGAGGTACTTATCATTTCTCCCCCACTCTTTCCTTTTTTTTTTTTTAATATCAAATATGCTTAGTCAAAACATTATTGAAATATGGTACCCAAATTAATAAGAAATATTATTGATTTTTTAATTGTTTTTTTTTACTTCATATGTTATGGATAGTCGTGATAAAAAAAATTAAACTGATTTTATACTTTTATTTGATAAAGACAATGACTAAGAAAACAAACAACCATAAAAAGTTGGTAAGAGTTTAATGCGAGGTGGACTAAGGCTAATTGTTTAACTCATCTTAATTAAAGAAATCTTTAGTTAATGTCCCGCTCATTTATTATTCAATGACTTGTCTAAATTTAGTAAATTCTTTTTATTTCGAACTTTAAAAAAAATCCAATGAAGGAATAGTAGTACTTATTTGAAAGAGTCAAACACATTGTTCTGTGGACATGTTTTTCTTAGTACTCCCTCTTTCTCGTTATTTGAATTTTTAGAATCAAATATTTTAATTTTAATTATAAGTTTAGACATGAAATCTTTACGTTATTTCAAAATATTATAAAACAGGCTATTTTTCAGTTCTGTTTTCCCGCAATAATACACAATTTTGACAAAGTTTGGCTGGATTTCCTAATGTGTCTCATTCTATCAAAGATAAGTATTCCACTGGACTCTTTTTTCTTTTGAGAAAATTAGATAAAATATTTATTGGATCAAATTTTTTTATTTAAAATAATATAATTATCATTAATTATTTAAAATGGTTATTCGATCACTTAACCCCTCTTTTTTTTTTTTGTGATACAGTGGAAAAGACTAATAAGTAATACTCAATCTTTCATAAGATATACAGCTTAAATCTAGCATGAGTAAAAGCTTCATTTACTTTGACTGCATTTTCGCAAATCTTATTCATGTCTGTGACCTTTAATGATTAATTCAACATACGCGAAAAGCTCAACTGATTATCATGATTCATGTGTGAACAAACTTAATCATTCATGAATCCTTTTCGGATCTTCCACATACAGGGAAATAATATTTCCAATTCACTTTCCAATATCAACGGATAAATTATCCTGTGAAGTGAACGTAACGAGAAGTGTGTCATATATCCATAAAGTTTCTACTGTCTAAAGCATGACCGTGGAACTAGTAACCTATAAAAAAACACATAAATTTTCATATCAAGATATGAAAATTTAAAAATTAGAAGAAGAAACAGAGACTTACATAAGTTCTGAATTTTCCTCCCATCTACTTCAATATTTGGAACACGGGAAATGTTGGACTAGTGGGAGTTTGAGCTACTCCGATTGGTGCAACTTTCTTCTAACTCTGGGCAGCCTTCAGTTTCCAGGTACAGTAATTTGTAGCCGTTTGTACCCCATGAGCCTCTGTGAAACATAACAAACCCCGTTTAAACAGTAAAATTGTTTCGTGAGAGAAAAGGAATGCAAAAAAGAACTTGACAGACTTGTTATAGCAGTCCTCTAACAACTAAATAAAAATACCTAACGTGATTACTGCCCGTGGATTTTGACTTGATATACCACTAGGATGTTCTACCATGACCTTGTACCTAGTAACCTATGAGCAGCAACATAATTTTCTTGATTAAACTTTTTTTTTTTTTTTTGTAGCTAGTGTTGTATTCATCAGCACAGACCTCCGAAAATCAGTTCCCAACAAAAAAGAAAGATAGAAATTAGTAGATTACAAAGTGCCTATAAATTGTAAATGAAAATTTACCTAACGTAATTGCCTGCCGCTCATGGGATTTGGCTTGATTTACCACATCGATGTTCTAGCATGACCTTGGAACTAGTAACCTAGAAGGAAAAAAAAACATAAGTTTCATGATTAAGTATTATCAAGATATACCATACTTGAAGAATTAAAAGAAAAACAATTCGGTTCAAGTGGACAAGTAGAATGCTGAAAGTATATCACATATGCAATTGATTGATATAATTTTGCATTTTTTAATATTAAATTACATACGAAGCTTTTTGTCTGGAACTCATGGAAAAAATAATATTTAAAAAATCGACTAAGAAAGTGAAAGAGAAACAGAGACATACGTGTATCCTGAATTATCCTCCCGCCTACATGAATTGTTGGGATATGGGAAATGTTGGACCACTGGGAGTTTGGGCTACTCCGATTGGTGCAACTTTCTTCTAACTGTGGGCAGCCTCCAATTCGCAGGTTCTGTAATTTGGTGAGGCGTTGCATGGCATCTCTGGATGGCAGATGCTCTAGTTTTTGGCAGTTACGTAAAACTAATAGTTCCAAAGAAACAATGTTGCTGAGCCCATCTGACAGAGCTTCTAACAATGGACAATCATGTATACAGAGATTCCGTAATTTGGGCATGGGATCTGAGAAGTCCACATGCCGTAGCCGTTTGCACTCCACTACTTGTAATGTTTCAAGAGAAGTAAGTTTGTCAAATCTATGAGGAAGAGCCTCCATTCCGAAATTGTATATATGGATCTCTGTTAGGGCAGAGAGTTGCATAAGCTGATAAGGCAGAGAATCCCAGTGCCCACGACCCCACACATCCAATCTACGAAGGGACAACAGCTGCTGAATGCCATTAAAAATCAATTGGAATGCCTCAAAATCCACCATCTCTGAGAAAGGACCAATAAACAATATCCTTAACCCGGTGAGACAGTGAAGGCCCCCTGCAGGTACACTAATCAATTTGGGACAACCTGATAAACCCAAATAGGAAAGTGAAGGCATTTCCCACACGTGTAAAGGCAATGAAACTAAGTTGTTACAATTGCAGACATTAAAAATTTCCAGAGACCGACAATGCTCTAGCATTCCACTTGGTAAGCTGGTCAATCCATTACAATCGAATAAAAGCAAACTTTGGAGGTTAGTCAAATAGTTCTCTCCACAGGGAACAGGAAAAGAACTGAAATTCGCGCAGTTGGATATTTGTAATCTCTGAAGAGAATGGAAATTGTACAAGCTTTGTGGCAATTCACGAAACTCTCCGCAGTATGAGACTGATAGGTATTGAAGAGAAACGTTGTTGCGTAGAATCTCATCTGGAAGACAAGTGAGGTCTTTCACATTACAAACATCAAGATTCACAAGAGATGTCAAGTTGCTGCACAAGTTCAACAATGGCATTTCACTGTCAACTCCTTCAATACTTAATTCACGCAGGATTTCAAATTGACTTGGAGTACTTTTTAACAGTGAACAGTCTGTAATCCTCAACTTCTCAAGCCTAGGAAACATTCTTACTCCAACTTCATCTCCCTTCCACTCAATAAGGCTACGCATATCCTTCAATACTAGTTCTTTCAATGACGGGAACACTTGGATAATGCTGCTTGATCCAATATCGCGAATCTCAACACCATATAAAGCAGGTCCAATGCATTCCAACTCATGGAATCCTACCAGCTCAAGATGCAGAAGGAATTTCAGTTGGCCAAGGGATGGAATTTCTTTGCACCTTTTGCAACCACTTAGTTTCAACTTGACCAAATTTGGTAGCAACTCTTCACTGAACCATGAAGGAAATTTAGTCCCCAAATAGTTCTTCACTTCAAAGGTTTTCAAGTTAGGATGCGGTTGAAGACCATCCAACACATGCTCATCATTGATCTCACAGCCTTCTGATTCATCATGGGACCATAAATATGCCAGCTTGTAGATATTTGGTTTCTCCTTTAAATATGCTGTTTGAGCGTCTTCTGTATTTCTGACTAATTGGAGACATTTGATCGTCAATTCACCTCTAAGGTTTTTCAAACGACCTAATTCTTCAATTCGACGACCTTTCTCTAAACCTACGTAGAAAAACTGTAGCGTCTGAAGACTGGTCAATTGCCCCATATTAAGTGGCATCTGAAACTGATCATGAATATCATATTTGCCATTTCTTCTGGAAGCTTCTTGAGTGAAGAACAGTCATTGACTCTAAATGTTTGCAAATTGTAGAGCTGGCAAATGGAGTTGGGGAAGTCTTCGATCTGAGTGTTGGAGATATCAAGATATCTCAAGTGTATCAGCTTGCTGATTTTGGCTGACAACTCCTTGATGCCTGATCTGGACAAATTTAGAACTCTCAAGAACTGAAAGCTCAATAGCATATCATCAGATATATTGCTTTTCCAGAACAATGTGCACAAACGTCCTGCCTCATTTATCGTATCCATTTGATCACTTGGTGAGTCCCATCCAAAGTATCGAGCTTGAGAAAGATTTTCACCTCCAACACTTTTTGTATCAAATAGTTTAGATTTTAATGTATCTCCAGCCAAATCATGCACAAGATCATGCATCTTACAGTGTGTTATATTGTTGTGCTCATCTAGCTCAAAATCTTGCAGCAAGGAATATTGCAACAAAAGTTGAAAAAACTTGTTCCCTACGTCTTCCATCACAGGGATCTCTTGACTTGGACGAAGAAACCCTTCTGCCATCCAGAGTTGGATTAGTTGGTCCTTCTCAAACTCAAAATCTTTTGGAAACATAGCAAAGTAACCAAAACATTTCTTCAGATGCGGAGATGATAGATAATCATAGCTTAGTTTTAGGATCTTCATTCTGATATTTTCCCCTGCAACAAGGAGGTTGCCATCAAGAATTGCCTGCCATTCATGTTTATCCTTGTTGCATAAGAGGCCTCCCAACACACTTGCTGCCAACGGTAGACCTTGACACATTTCAACAATCTTGTTCTTCATGCTCAGCATTTCCTCCGGAACTTCCCCATCCACAAACGCTCTTTGTTTGAAAATGGACCAACAATGATCTTCTGCTAATTTTTCCAACATATGAGGACTTATTGTTGCTACTGTGGACGCCACCAGTGCCATACTAGTTGTCACGAGAATGAAGTTTCCTCGGCATGTATTTAGTCCTCTCAAGGTGTTCAAGAACTCATGCCACAATGTTGGGTCCATGTGCCACAGATCATCCAGGACAAGCAAGTACTTTCTTCCTGTCAGTTCATCTCGGAGCTTCTTGACTATTATATCTCTGCTCAGGACCTCAGCTTTCCTCTCTGTCAATGATTCAAGGATCAGTTCAAGAAAGCTCTTAGTTTCTGCCATTTCAGGTAGGCACAACCAAACTCTCTTTTCGAACTGCTGCTGTATTTGTTCATCGTTGAAAATTCTCTTAGCAATAGTAGTTTTCCCTAAACCCCCCATGCCCACTATGGGAATGGCACATAGAACAACTTCCTCTCTCATGTTCAACATCTTATCCTTTATTTCAGCAATATCTTTGTCTCTACCAACAACATCCGAAGCAACTACTAAGGAATCTGTTTCTCTGATTTGTAGTATTTTGCGAGAAGGAACAGTCAGTGATTGGAGACCGAGGTCATTGTCTAACTGATTGATTGCCCTCAACTCTTCATTGATGTTGTTGATTTTTCGAGACATTTTGTACTTGAAAGTAGTATTAGAAAAGAAGCTACGGACTTTTTCCATTAGTTTGGCTCGGTTTTTCATCACTTGTGCTTTAAGAGATTCATATGTGAATTTGTCAAACACATTTTCAGCATCTTCAGCAATTCTCTCAAGCATCTTGAGCCATTCTTCCACAGCCTGATCTTCGACTTGTCGTCTTTCAGCATCATGAATGAAAGCTTGGATCATGGATATATATTTTGTGAGCATTCTGAGATTTTTCTTGCAGTTCCTTAAAGTTTTGGCCTCCTCAATAGTGAGCGAAAGCAGCTTCTCAAGTACAACTTGAACAGTAGCACCAATTACAGGATCGGCCATTGTTGTTTTTGCTCCCTCCTCTACACAAAAGCAAGTTATGAAGGAGGAGTATATAGATTCAGAGGATAAAGATTTCCTTTAAGTATGAAAACAAATTATGAATCAATGGAACTCACCTCAATATTAACTTATCGAATCTCCTGTTATTCCTCAATAGCTCAATGATAGATTGATAGATTGTTAACTGATTGGTTCGTACGTAGATCCAAATACTATATGACACAAGGTGTTGTTTAGTACATAGAGATGGGTGAGGAGGTCAAACAATAATTAGAGTTGGTAATGAGCACAAACAGACGGCCATTGTTGTTTTTGCTCCTTCACAAAGTCGTCTTCTTCCTCTACACCAGTTTTCTTCCACTAAAAAAAATTGATTGTATAGTAGTTATTACAGAGTATAAAAAGAAAACGGAAAAGGGCCTAAAATACCCTTAAACCATTGGAAATGGTACAAAACTACCTTCCATCCACTTATTGGCTCCCAAATACCCCTATCATCCATCTTTGGGTCCAATATCAACTACTTTTATAACAAATTATCATTTAAATAATTTTTTTAAAACGTGACGATTAGCTATTGGATCCACTTATTGGCTCCCAAATGCCATTGTTGCTTTTGCTCTTTCTCAATGTTTTGGGTGAAATCTTGTTTTGGTAGTTGTTTATGGACCACTAAAGGAAACACAATAATTCAAACAGTGGGAAAAAATTGAATGGTAGTCATGACATCAATGACACAAATATCTCTCTAAGACTACTAATAATACTCTGGCTTTTGTAGAATTTTCTTTCAAATATTTCCTAATTTGTTACTTGTCATTTTTGACAAACTAAGCAAGGACAATTTTCTATTAAAAAGTACCGTTAGTAAATATATTTTATGATCCTATTAATTAATAGAAGTAAAATGATAAACTCATTATTCTAATAATTATTTTTTTAATTGGTATGCCAACTCAAAATTTGACAAGTAAAAATGGACGGAGATAATATATACTACAAATAAACAATAGTGTACTGTGTTTGGATAGAAGTGCTAAAATTGATAATGAACACTTAACATGTGGGACCATACCCATTGGCTGCCAGCTTTATTTGAATAGGACTTTGCACAGTTGCACCTCTATGTATAATAAATATGATAAGGAATTTTCTTTTTTGTAAACATAGTTGCTACTTTGTTTATTTCATAATTTATTTGTGGATTTGGTTCACAAGTTACGTTGTAATCCTTAACGCCATGTAATTTTTGTCTTGCTCATATTTTATGTTAATAAAAACAAGTGGCAGAAAGTATTCCTGACATCAAAATCATCATCATATTTTATATATATATATATATATATATATATATTCTACTATATTATAAAAGAGAGTTTAGGCCCAAGTATAATATATAATATTCAAGATTGGAATTTTTCCAATCTTGAATATTATATATTATACTTGTGGGACTTTTAAAATTCTATTTTATACCCAAGTATACTATATAATATTCAAGATTGAGACTTTCTTGAATATTATATATTATATTTATTAAATAGTAGAACTTGGGTATAAACTCCCTTTTAAAATAATATAGAATATATATATATATATATATCTCACAAATGGAAAAGTCTCAATCAAGGAAGCAACATATATCATTTACAAATGACTTATTCTACTATATTATAAAAGAGAGTTTAGGCCCAAGTATAATATATAATATTCAAGATTGAGACTTTTCCCAATCTTGAATATTATATATTATATTTGTGGGACTTTTAAAATTCTATTTTATACCCAAGTATAATATATAATATTCAAGATTGGGACTTTCTTGAATATTATTTATTATATAGTAGAACTTGGGCATAAACTCCCTTTTAAAATAATATAGAATATGTATATATATATATATATATATATATATATATATAAATGTTGTTTTTGTCACCCTTTTAAAAATTTATTTGTAATTGTTGTTTTATTACTAATAATATATTTTCATATATACTTAGTCGTTGTAATGGATCTATAAAAACTTGCATGGGTCACACGTGCAACGCACGTACTCAGAAACTAGTATTCAAAAAGCACAACTCCATGATTTCCAATGTTTTCCCACAACAGAATTCTTCAGCGCGCTTGATTAGACAAGTCAAAGAAGAAGAATCTGTAGTTCAGTTGGTTGGCTATCTGAACTTTAACATTGTTGGTAAGAGTTCGATTTTCCACCTTGTAATCTGCTTGCCCATTTTTTGTTTTTTATTTTTGTTTTTTATTTTTGCTTTGGCATATGAAGTATTTTGCAAAGAATATTTACTGTCATGGAACATCAATCAATTAAGACAAACATTAAAGCTATATTACTTTTTTTGTTTATTATGCACAAACAAAAGCCAAGAGGGCTGTAAGAAAGGCAGGTACAGCATGAACATTGTGCAAGAAAGGCCTCTGCTGTCAAATCTCAGACAAGTCTTTTCCAGTCTACGAAACACAGGAATCCGTAAAAGTCAGTTTTCGCACACATTTTGAACTTCGTGAATGGAGAATCAGCTCATTACAAGACCTATAAAGATGAACAGATGCTGTTAAGGACATTTTTAGAGCCAATGGGGAACTCTTTGCTATAAGATTCAATAAATAGCAGTCTTTTGTAACTTTCTTTTTTGAAGTCCTTCAATCGCGAGAGTTTTAATGAAAGTGAAAGTAACGAGAATGTCTATTAAGAAACTTATATTGACATTCCAGTCAGCTTTTTCCTTTCTAGGAGATTAACAATTTCGAAGAAGCTTACATGGAAATCTTGTACATCTAATGGACAGATCGTCTTCAAACTGGTTGACCCATTCAAGTCCTAGGTCTTCGCCTTCAAAAAAGTTATTTGTTATTTCAGTATAATGGGCATTCCACATAACTTATTATTCCTTTTACTTCATAACTT